TGGATGAGGGGATGATGGCTGTTTGCAGCTGGTCACACACCCTTCAGGGTGGGGGTCCCCACTGGGGTGCCTGGCCAGCCTGGATGAGGGGATGATGGCTGTTTGCAGCTGCTCACACACCCTTCAGGGTGGGGGTCCCCACTGGGGTGCCTGGCCAGCCTGGATGAGGGGATGATGGCTGTTTGCAGCTGCTCACACACCCTTCAGGGTGGGGGTCCCCACTGGGGTGCCTGGCCAGCCTGGATGAGGGGATGATGGCTGTTTGCAGCTGCTCACACACCCTTCAGGGTGGGGGTCCCCACTGGGGTGCCTGGCCAGCCTGGATGAGGGGATGATGGCTGTTTGCAGCTGCTCACACACCCTTCAGGGTGGGGGTCCCCACTGGGGTGCCTGGCCAGCCTGGATGAGGGGATGATGGCTGTTTGCAGCTGCTCACACACCCTTCAGGGTGGGGGTCCCCACTGGGGTGCCTGGCCAGTCTGGGTGAGGGGCTGAGGGCTGCTTTCAGGCTGGCGGTTGTTGACTGAAGCTCCCAACCGCTCCTTTTTTTTCTCTTTTTTTATTTTATTCTGGGCCAGCTTTAGCTCTGGCTCTAGCTCTGAGGCTTCGTATCTGGTTTGTTTGCCGTTCTATAATCGAAACAATGTATAACTTCAGCTCTGAGATCCCGGCAGGCTGAAAGCTGGTTTCTGGGGTTTTGTTTAGCTTCTTATTTGCAACATAGTACATAGTTGCTTAGAGTTGCAACTCAGAGGCCGGCAAGTCAGGCGGGGAACGTTGGAGTCTGCAGTCACTGGAGCAGGCAAGCCTCATGTTCGCTTCCAGCTGCCTGGCTGCTGGCCGCCATCTTGGCTGACAGTTAATTTGCATAAGGATATGCTGATTAGCCAATGGGAAGGGTAGCGGTCGTACGCCAATTACCATGTTTCTCTTTTATTAGTGTAGATGTTGTACGTCTGAGACATATTATGTCATATATCAATTTTACCTTCAAAGAAACAGATAAAGTCTAGCCATGTGTTCTGGGGTATCAGAGCTCTGGCAATGCCTATTAAAGACTCTGGACATATATGTAGGTACCACAAGGGAGGAAAAATCTTAAGTATGCTATATTTTTAAATAACACGTATTGATTCAGTGCCCATAGGACATTTTCTAATGAGAATCAGCAATAAAGTTTCCAAGGGACCAGCAAATCAAAATGACTGAAAAAAGACAAAAGGGAATAGAAAATTACTTGTATAATGACTAGTTAAAATAAAGATAATTTAACTTAAAAAGTTAGGATTTCAAATAATTGCTAAATAAAGTAAGGAATACACACCTTATCCCCACATATAGCAGTAATAACAACACAGGCACCATTTGCAATGGGGCACAGATCTACCTCAAATGGAACAAAGGAAAGGTGATAGGAAATATTCTAAAGACGTAAATGTGAAGTAAAGTGTGTTGAATGAATAGCAATGTAGTAGAAATTCACTGAACCCAAATTATTTTATAAGAAAAAGAATTTTGTTTAGAATAAGTGCTTCCATTCTTTTTCACACTCATCACATCTTGCTGACGCAAAGCATGTGTTATCTTGCCAAAACCTTAATCTGTGTATGCTCAGAATTTTCCATAACTTGATCCTATTATGGAGATAATTTCCTTCTCTTTGTAAAATCATGCTAAACCAGTAATTCTGAGTCCTGTCCTGTATGTTTTCTTTCTGAAATACATCAATATGCTGATTCATCACATTGGGGAACAATTCATTCTTTGTCAGAAGTATTATAGAGTAAAAAAATAGTGAATCTGTACTTTTGGGTAGAGTATCTGATTACAGGAAACAACAGAAGGGATTTGCAAAAAAAATAAAGTAATAAAGCGCTAGCTTGTTCTTCGTGTTGGTTACATAGGTGAGGTTCATAAAAAATTCATCAAGCTGCACATTTCAGACATGTCCATTTCTGTATATATTATATCTCAATAAAAAGCTAAACTAAGTAACTAATTAAATAAATAATACCAGGAAAAATAATTATTTGGCCAATTTGATCCACTGTTAGAGCCCAAGCTATTATGAATTGTCTCTGAGAAAGCAATACCCCTGAACATGCCTGAAAGTATGCAAACATTACTTTTTTCTCTGTCATTCTCATTATTTGCATAGCAAGGAATACTGTCTCCAGTCTATCTCATCACACAATACTATTTGCTCTGAGATATTAAAGGGGAAAACCAGGTCATAATGGAAAATGAGTGTTGAAGGAGCACAATTACATCAGGGAATCTTAGAATAAATTTCAATGATTCTTAATGCAAAGATTTCTATAAATTTATAGTTAATGAATAATCACTCATATATAATGAATTAAATTCTAGGTCACCATGCTTATTTAATTAAAATATTTTAAAATTTGGACTCTATAGCCAGTCTAAACATGTTTTCTTTACATTATTCCAACAAACCTCCAATTTCATTTTTTCAAAGAGTGTATGACTCTAAGACCCAGCACCAGCACCAGCCTGCCTTGCTTCACAGCTGGGCCTCACCTGGGCACTTCCAAACCTGATACAAATAGGAGGAATCTGAAGATCTCTGCTGACGATGCACCTTCCTGGAGACCCAAGAGACAATACACCCAGTGGACAGCTTAAGACCATATCAGATTACAACTCTACACATCCACAAGCAACACACTCAAGGGGCAGACGCAATTTGCACCAAAGCCCCATAGAAGCAAGTCCTGCTCCATAGAGGTGTTTCCTACAGCAGCTCTTCTGCTGTAGTTGCAGCTGGTTCTCATAGCCAATTGGCCTGGGGGTCAATTTCTCCCAGTGATGCCATTAGCAATCAAGTCTCAACTACAACAAGACTGTGCACACAGCACACAAAGGGGTGCAACTAGAGGGCTTACCTCAGGTGACTGGGAAGGCTGAGCCACTGGGCCCTATAGGACATCTATTACACAAAGCCACTCTACCAACTCCAGGAGAAATAGCAGTTCTACAAATACATACAAACACAGGGAAATAGCCAAAATGCAGAGACAAAGAAACATGTCACAAATGGAAGAAAGCAAACTACTAGATACAGAGTTCAAAACCATGGTTATAAGGTTACTCAAGGATTTTCATGAGACCTTCAGGGGACTTAGTGAGACTTTCAAGGATCTTAGTGAGAAGCCAAAAACATGGAAAAGGACCATTCAGAAATTAAGCATATACTAACTGAAATAAAGAATAATTGACAGGGATTCAATAGTAGAGTAGAGGATTCTGAGAATCAAATCAACGATTTGAAATATGAGAGAGCAAAAACACCCAATCAGAAGAGCAAAAAGAAAAAAGAATCCAAAAATATGAAGATAGTGTAAGGAGCCTCTGGGACAGCTTCAAGCGTACCAACATTCAAATTATGGGGGTGCCAGAATGAGAAGAGAGCAAGATATTAAAAACCTATTTGAAAAAATGACAAAACTTCCCCTACTTGGTAAAAGAAATAGACTTACAAGTCCAGTAAGCACAGAGAACCCCAAATAAGAGGAACCCAAAGAGGCCCACATCAAGACACATCATAATTAAAATATCGAGGCCTATAGACAGAGAGGCTTAAAAGTAGCAAGAAAAAAAACAGTTAGTTACCTGCAAGGGAGTGCCCATAGAACTGTCAGCTGATTTCTCAACAGAAACTTTGCAGGCCAGAAGGGAGTGGCAAGAAATATTCAAAGTGATGAATAGCAGGGACCTACAAGCAAGATCACTCTACCCATCAAAGCTATCATTTAGAATTGAAGTTGAGATAAAGAGCCTCACAGACAAGAAAAAGCTAAAGGAGTTCATCACCACCAAAACAGTAATACATGAAAGGTTGAAGGGTATTCTTTAAGAAGAAGAAGAGAAGAAAAAAATGAAAAATCCACACAGACACCAGGAGGGTGAGGGCATGAGTGCGGGGGTTGGAGGGCAATGAGGGAGTAAGGACACATATGTAATACCTTAATCAATAAAGAAAAAAAAATCCTATATAATAAAAGCATAATATGCTAATTAGACCGGATGTCCTTCCGGATGACCTTCCAGACAAAGCTGGGGCTGCAAGGGAAGCCCAGGTCCTGGGTGCCTGCCGGCGGCCAGAGGGAAGCCTGGGTTCTAGGTGCCTGCTGGCGACCGGAGGAAAGCTTGGGTCCCAGGTGCCAGAAGGAAGCCCAGGTCCTGGCAGCTGGGGGAAGGAAGGCCTACTCTTGCACGAATTTCATGCATCAGGCCTCTAGTATAACAATAAAATGACAATAAAAACATACATATTGGCAATTGAATCTAAATATCAAAATAAACGAACAAGGAATCTAATGAACAAAATAAACTGGTGAATAAAATAAAATCAGAGTCATGGGAATGGAACAGACTGAAGATTCTCAGAGGGAAAGGGGTGGGGGATTGGGAAGATATTAAGCAAAGATCTTATCTGCATATATGCATTACCTATAGTCACTGGCAATAGGGTGGCAAAGGCCTGGGGTGGGGCAGGAACTGGGTGGAAGGGGACAATGGGGGGGAAAAACAGGGACATCTGTAATACTCTCAACAATAAAGATTTTTTTTTAAATTATTCTGTAGAAATATTTATATTGGGAAGAATGCTTATAGTGAACTGGTATTTGGAAAAAAGCAGATTACAAAACTACATGTACAGGATGACTTCAATGTTTGTCAAAGAATAAATACATATGTATAGGTATGTATAAATAAATAAATAAATAAATAAATAAGGAAGACTGAAGGATCACTAGGAAGGCCAGCCTAGAATGATCCAAATTGGTTCTAGCATGAAAATTACATGTGTGAAGGAGCAAATTAACTTTATGGTTCCCCAAGTTATCTGAATGATAATATACCTAAATCATCTGATTTATAATGCAATTTCATACATTTCAAACTTTTGTAGTCCCCTCCTTCTTCTGTTCTAACCTGCCTACTGCTAGAAATTATCATTGACAGTGGTACCTTACCTGATAAAATCCGGTAAGCGAAATTTTAGATATAAAACAACCCCTGCGAACTGCTCTGCCAAGTAAAGGAGTTCATAATTTTTCTCAAGGTTCAAGGAAAGGCACACTGGAACAGCCTGGAGAAAAGAAAACAAACAAAACCTATAGTTAACTGCTTGTTTTTTGTCAGATTATGCATCCTTTCTCTGATTCCTAGTGTTCTTGTCAAATGTATCCTCCATGATACACTAAAATGAATTAAAGACACCCTGGTAATAATAAAGCAATAACCTTTACTTCCTTGTCTAGTCTAGCAGTGGAACCCCCAAAAATACGTGTTTTTTAAAATTTTTTTCAATGTGCATGGCTTTCTATTTTTGTCTTTAATATTTCCTTTATAAATCACAGTCCAAAAACACAAACTTTTTCCTCTAGTAACAAGTGATCCCTTATTTAACTGATACAGGTATCAGACCTTCCATGAATTATGTCTGAAAATAATTTTTATTTGGAGTCAGAAGTAGGTGGGAAAATTAATGTACCAATAAATAGGACCTCATTTATTCACTCATTCATTATTAAGCAAAAAATTTCTGTGCAAAAACTGTGCTATCTAGGTAGCAAAGGGAATACTGAAAAACCTGGATGGAATAAATAGAAATGAGATATCATCATAGTCTCCAAGGAAGCTACAAAACAGTGATTTAGAATCATTAAATCTGAAATTAAGTACTTTTTTTTCCTAAAAATAAAAATAAACATTAAAATGGAAAGTCTTAATAAATGGGTATTTTGGAAGGAATTATGTACATAGCACTGTATTAAATGTAGGTCCAGAAATAACATTTAATTTCCTCTTAGAACTTTAATAAATCTATTCTGAGGCGGATGGTGATGTTTAACTACAACAAATACTTAAATCATAAGAGACTAAGTTACAAAATAGACATTCACACAGCATGGCATTTCAATTAAGTATTGTACTATTAAAGTCAGTACATAGGCAACTATCTTACCTTATCTTCCTTTATCAAGTAGGTAGAATAATATTGAATGTTACATTTTTGGGGTACTTAAGCTTTGTCTTGATGATAAAGAGGTATGTGTGTACATATGATTAAATCATTATTAAAGATTTTTGTCTCTTTACTGTTTGCCTCAGAATCATATAAATTTCACCTTTACTTGAAAAAAAGTAAAGGAGATACAATAATTGGACTAAGGATCATTAACACATGATCCTTATTTTTTAAAAAATAGCTTCAGAGATTGATCTATTCATTTCAATAAAGGAAAAACTAGAATCTACCCCCAACATTCAATTTCTGAGTCAATTATGTGTTAAATCTGAGTAACTAAAAGCAAATTTAAGAGATACAGATTAACAAAATCAAACTCTCTGAATTTTGATATATGTAAGTCCCACTAAATCTTCTAGTCTGACAATGTTTCCACCCAAGATTTTATGACAACTCTTGAAAGTACTAGCATGCCTAAGGCTTGATCAAAGTTGTCAGAATGGTGAATAAAGAAAAGTGGACACTGAGAAATGTTCTCATTAAAGTTTCTATGGAAGATTCTTTTTCTCACAAAGACCAGTATAAACCTCAGCTTTCCTTAAGTTTCTTAAATAAGCATATATTTTGTATTTTGTAAATGTACATGCTGTACTCTCTGAACTGTGACCCTGCAGCTTTTATTTTGCCCAGCCACTAATTATTCCCAATTGTTTACAACTTTACACATCCATAATTAGTAAATAGATTGTGACTCAGAGCCTAGATGGAACTACAGAAATTATTATAGAACATCTGTATTTTCCTGACTTAACTCAGCTCTGTGGAAATAAGTACCTGGATCTCTTATTTTAGAAAAGAGATGGTAAGTTTAGCATTGCAAAATGTTACCTCACAACTCTTCTGATCTTGGGCAAGTTTGAATCCTTTCTTCCCATCACAGTAACAAGAATAACCTCCAGGGTAATTGACACAAAGTTGAGCACAGATGTTCTCAGAGCATTCATCCACATCTAGAGAAAAAGAGAACATAAATCTTAATATCTTCTAAATGCTCAACCCAACAGAAGAAGTATTCTGATTTTAGTTTGTGATATCAATGACAATAATGAAAGAAATTTCTGACATCAAATTACATTTAAACACTTGGCATGAAAATTTAAATGAGTCACAAGTTTAATTTCTTTTTATTTACACACTGGAAACAACAAATTTAATATTTAAATTTTATTAATTAATACTTAACAAAAATATATCAAGTATTCTAATTTCCTGGTTTTGAATTTGAAGGCAAAAAGACCAAGAGTCTCAAGTTAGTTGTCATTTCTGATTATATAATTCCATTGAGACTACCTTCCTATTCTTTGCTTTGAAGAAAAAGAGGGAAAAGTAGAGGGGAGGAGAGGGAAGGGGAGGATGGGAAGATAGGGATGAAAAGATCCCTTTTAATTGAAGGTCAATGTAATTGAGAACTAAATGATAATATCAAAAACATTTGACTCTTCATGATGCAATGATTAATAGAGGCAATAAATTAAAGGGCATACCTGTATTTCTTCTTATTTTTATTAAAAACTCACTGTGCTATATTACCTCCCATATTGTGAAATCTTGTATATTGATCCCTGTCCCCACTTCATATTTTGAGAAAGGCATTCTTGAAAAGTTGTAACAATATGCTTTAGCTAAAGCCCACTACTAAGATCCAGAGCTACTAAGATCCTGACCTTTTCGATGAATGAACCAATGATATCTTTGAAAATTCCCAAATTCATAAATGCTATTATAGCACACAACGGTTTAAAATAAAACCCCAATATTAGTGATCCCTCAATACCATTAAAATGTTATATGATTAAAGTAATAAAATATTATATGTCATATAAATCTGTTATTTTGTTTTTTAATTGCTGTTCATGGAATAAAACTACAATATAGATAATGAAGTGAACTAATTACCATCTACAAATGGTTATGGTTTACTACAGTAATTTCTATCTGGAGTGGTGAGAGAGTAGAAATGACGTATGTGTGTCGGAACGAGCAGGTATTTTTGGTGCATGCACGAAGAGATAAGGCCTCAAAATCTCAAGAGAAGTATATGTAGCTGAAAAAACCCTATTCTAAAATTATTATTGATTAGGGATATTTGTAGAGAGAGAAAGTAGATTAGAGGTTCAGGGATTGGGGGAGGGTTACAGAGTTCTCTTTGGGGTGGTGAAGTTGTTTTAGAACAGATAATGGCAATGACTGCATATCTATGTAAAATGTAATTAATGCCACTGAGTTGTACACTTAAAAAAGGTTAAATGACCACATTGTATCTCAAATATACTTTGTCAAAAACTGCTATTCATTTCATTAGTTTTAGTCATGGTATTAAATTCATTTTGAAACTTTAAAAAATGTAAAGGAGGATGTGAGATAATTTGTATATATCCATGATAGAAAATAAAGAAATAATAATCCACTATGATGTCCAAGCTACCTGAGGCAAACATGGCAGCACTGCTGTGGCCAAATGAAGCAGCAACAAGTCCAAGGGCTCTTCTTAATCCACAGGCACTGACACTACTAATCAGTACTCTCTCATTTCTAGAACTTAGCTATCATTTGGTTATAATTAATTTTTTTCTTTCATATGCATTTACTTATAATAGAACTTTGTCATTTCTTATTTTATAATAAATAAAACTTACACACAAAAAAATCATTGATAAGCTTGGTATAGAACTGAAGGTTTCTAACCATCCTTGTTGTAAGTAACTCCCACGTGATTTTTAAACTTGTCTTTTTTTTCTTTTTGTATGTGTGTGTTATTCCTTCCAGCTTGAAACTCTTTTTATCTTTGAATATTATTTAAGTGATGTGAGAATATGTTTATTTTGCTTTTATCATACATTGGGAGGTCTCTAATCCATATTTAGCTAAGAGGGCCCACTGGAGTACTAACACTAAACCTAAAGACCATGTGTCTTGCATATTTTTACTTTGGAAGGAAGCCAATGATTATTCAATTGAACAAACTAAGATGGATTTGACCATCTTAGAAAATCTGATTGTTGATGTCAAACAGAACCAATGCTTCTAATACCAAATCAGGGTTCAAACCCACCCTCTCCACCATCAACAATGACAGGACCACAACTCTACCTTCACAAGACTTTGATGTGGGATTGTATCTGTAACCTTCAGCACATTCGCATTCAAAGTCTCCTGGGGTGTTCTTGCACACAGCTGTGCCACAAATGCCTGGCTTCACAGAGCATTCATCCACATCTATAAATGAAACCAATATATTAAAAGACATTTTTCCCATACCAAGCTAGCAAAAAACCCTTGATCTGTGTTTCCTGAATCTGGTTTAATATATGAAATAAGATAACAGAGTGGCCTGAGAATAACAAAATATTAAATCTATCATCATGTTTTAGTTCACTAAATATTATATCTTTATGCAAGCACAGAGAATTTGATTTATGTTTGCAATGTGTAGTTATGTAAATGAAAGACAGGGCTTTAGTTATTGTCTTATCTACCAGGCTACAGTATGAAAATAAATGGGATAAAGGACTTACCATAAACATTTCTTTTAAAATATATATATATATATAATTGATTTTTAGAGAGAGAGGGAGAAGGAGATGAAGAGAGAAACATCAATGTGAGAACGAAACATCGGCTGCTTCCTGCATGCCCCCTACTGGGGATTGAGCCTGCAACCCAGGCATGTGCCCTGACCAGGAATCAAACAAGCAACCTTTCATTGAATGGGATGGAACCCAACCAACTGAGCCACACCAGCCAGAGCCACCATATTATTCATATGTGTTTCTAAATACATGTTTCTGAAATATGGTCTTAAAAGTATATACAATCTGCATTATCACAAATATAAAAAACAAATACGAGATGGCTCATCAGTCTTATGTTTTTCCCTTGGAAAAACAATAGCTAAACTGCATATCATTATTGTTGCCTGAAATATTCAAAAGTGACTCAAATTTAAAGTGATATTGAATACGGTCTCAAAGTATTTATAAAGCTGCAGTTAATCCAATACAAATTTTAATGCTAAATTAATATTCCTGAAATTTCAGATGTGTTTATTACATTACATAGTAGAGTAGGAGACAAAGTATTGATTGCAATTAGCTACTAGATAAGAACCTGTAAAAACAAAGAAAAAAAAGTGGTCCTAACCGGTTTGGCTCGGTGGACAGAGCGTCGGCCTGCGGACTGAAGGGTCCCAGATTCGATTTCGGTCAAGGGCATGTACCTTGGTTGCGGGCATATCCCCAGTAGTGGGTGTGCAGGAGGCAGCTGATCGATGTTTCTCTCTCATCGATGTTTCTAACTCTCTATCCCTCTCCCTTCCTCTCAAAAAATCAATAAAATATATTTTTTTAAAAAGAAAAAAAAGTGATAGAAATAATTCAGTGGAGACATAATTATAAGTGAACTTTTCTCATTTCTACTCTCTGAAGGCAAGTTTAGAATGAAAAATATACTTTCTACTTTAAAAAGTTGGGAGTTGCCCTAGCTGGTTTGGCTCAGTGGATAAAGCATTGGCCTATGGACTGAAGGGTCCCAGGTTCAATTCCGATTAAGGGCACATCCCCAGGTTGTGGCTCGATCCCCAGTGGGGGGCATGCAGGAGGCAGCCGATCAATGATTCTCTCTCACCATTGATGTTTCTATCTCTCTCTCCCTCTCCCTTTCTCTCTGAAATAAATAAAAATATGTATTTTTTAAAAGCTGGGAGTTTAACTTTTCCACAGACTAATAACCAACATTTCAGACATTATTCTATTTTAAAAGACATGCACACTGGTCAGCATTGCTCAGTGGTTAGATCATGGGCCTGTGCACCAGAGGGTCGCAGGTAGATTCCTGGTCAGGGCATGTACCTGGGTTGCAGGTCTGGTCCCCACCCCCTTTTTCTCCCACCCACATTAGGGCACATGGCAGGCAACCAATGTTTCTCTCTACTCTCTCTCTCTCTCTCCCTCCCCCACCCCTTCCACTCTCTCTAAAAATCAGAAAAAATATCCTCACTTCTAGGGTGAGGATAAAAAAATAATAATAATAAAATGACATGTACAAAATGACATGCACAAATATAATAGAATCAATCCCTGTGGTAAGGGAATTTCCCTGTATTTTGACTCAGTAAGTGTCAGTATCCTGGGTGTGATAATGTACTATAGTTTTGTAAAATGTTACAATTAGGGAAAACTGGGCAAAGGGTTCATGGGATCTCTTTTTATTATTTCTTACAACAGCATGTGAATCTATATTACTTCAAAATAAAATATTTAATATTTTTAAAAGAAAGTAAAAACATATGCCTAAATTATTTGGTCTGAGAAAAATTGCAAGGAATTATTTAAATCATATGAGTTCAGGTTATAGCTCATTGATTTTATGACTCTACACTGACATCTAATGACTGATGAAAAGTTTTATTCTTGAATTTTTTAAACATTTCCTGGCAACTTGATCCAAGCATATCCACATGTTGACAAAGGCCTTATTGTAATAGTTGTATACACATTCTTCTCAGAGTTCTGTACTCTATTAATTAGATGTCATGGATAAAAAGCTATGCAAATGAAGTATATAAGACCATATGTTCTGGTCAATCGGGACCTTCTTATTTATGAGTACTTTTTGTGATAATTTACATGCACATGTATAACTTCAGTGTATAAGGATTAAATAACTTTTAATTAAAAATATGTCACAAATTCTTTAGAAGAACAGACTATTTAAGTTTTTTAATGTAGAGTATGAATGGGTACTATTTGTTTATGGCATGCATATGGTATCTTGCATTATGATGGTTTTCTATAACTGATGTTCTAATGATATTGGTATTCTAAATGTTTAAACCTCAAACAGACTTTCATATAGGCAAATAAGAAAGATATATGGTTACAAACTAGGTATATGTTTAGAAGAAATTGTTAGTTCATACACTTCACTTTAGTCATTGAACTGCACTTTAAATAATATTAAACTATACCCCACCAAACACTACAGTGCATTGAGGGGCAGACCTTTCCTTGACTATGAATTCAATTTGGTGTATTTACCAAAGCAAATATGAATGGAGAAAACTTTACATTTTAATTTACTAATTTTTTTTTTACCTTGCAGCAAAAAGAGACGGAGGAGGTAGAGGAGTAGTAAAAGAAAGAGAGAGAGGGAAGGAGGAGGAAGGAAGGAAGGAAGGAAGGAAGGAAGGAAGGAAGGAAGGAAGGAAGGAAGGAAGGAAGGAAGGAAGGAAGGAAGGGGAAGAAAGAAAAACTTCTAGTTTCTTAAGGCAAAATTGAACTTCAGGCTGGAAATTTCCCTTTTTAGTCATCCACATACCTACCAATTACACTTGAAGATTTAGTTACAGCAGTTAAAGTAGTCTAATGGAAAAGACATGCAGAGATAAAAAAAAAGTCAAAACTCGGGGAACAGAGAAGCATAAAGAAAAAAAGAAATATACTATAGCAAAATGACTGTTATAAAGCTAAATTGACAGGAATCATTAAAGTCTGAGATTTAAAAACAAAAAACAAAAACACAAGACTAATGACAAATGATGTACTCTTAGATGTAGAATAAAGAAAGAAAGTCCGTGCTTCATTTTCCCCAAATTTCCAACAGGAAATGAGGTGTAAGATGAAGGGTTTATATTGGAAATTAAAGAGATATTTCTGACAAGGAAACAAAATACAATGAAAAAAGTTACTAAGCATTGTGTTGGATTTTTTCGTATAGTTGTTTATCTCATTGGAATAAAGGAAATAATATTATAGTGTCTGTCAAAGAAAGTATAAACAACAATTTTGCAAGCACTGTAGTATGCAAGGACTTGCACTGAAACTTCACTTTATCACCATATAACAAAATTATTTTTTTTCTTTTTTTTAAATCCTCATCTAAAGATATGTTTTATTTTGAGAGAAAGAGAGAGAGAGAGAGAGAAAGACATCAATGCAAGAGAGAGAAATAAGGATCAGTTGCTTCCCGTACACACCCTGATAGGGGGTCGAACCTGAAATCTTTTGATGTACAGGACAATGCTCCAACCAACTGAACCACCTGACCAGGACATAATGAAATTATTTTTAAAATGTGATCATGTGTGTGCACACATACATATGCAATAAAAAATATTCTATAAATATTAAATACAATAAGAAAACAATAAATGTCCTATAAAAAATTAAAAGGTAGTCCCATAATATCGAAAGTCTTCAAAGCGCATAGTAATGTATATTTATTATAACAGCTTATAACCAGAGAGTTTTCCAAGAATTTCCTGGGGAAATTTCTCTAACTGAATTTTGCTCTCACATGGTAAATATCTTTTTATTTTACCTTCTTTCTCTTACCTTTGCAGTCCTTGTTATTTGAAAGTAGAACAAAACCACTTTTACAAGAACATTGGTAACTTCCAGGTGTATTATCACAAATCTGACTGCAACCTCCATTTATGTTTGAGGGATTTTTGCATTCATTTATATCTAAAAACCAGAACATAAATTATTATTAAAGTGATAGAGCCTTCAGAAAATTTCTCAGGGGGTCGATCCAGATAAGCCAAATGGGTATATCATACATACCGAATTCACACTTCTCTCCTTGCCAACCCGATTTACACTTGCAAGTGAATGTAGCCTGGCCATCTTTGCAGCTCAGATATCCATCTTCATTGCATGGAAGAGGGTTGCACTGGTCTGGAATGGCTAAAGGAAATAGACATCTAGTTAATTTTTACCACATGATATACCTTTTGATAAAAATCCTGTGCATGCAATTTACCATAACTAATATTTGGAAACAGCCTAAGTGCCCATCAGCAGATGAATGGATTAAAAAATTGTGGTTCATTTACACAATGGAATACTACGCTGTGATAAAAAAGAAGGAATTCTTACCATTTGCAACAGCATGGATGGAACTGGAGAGCATTATGCTAAGCAAAATAAGCCAGTCAGAGAAAGATAAATATCACATGATCTCACTCATTTGTGGAATATAATGAACAACATAAACTGATGAACAAAAACAGATCAGAGACAGAGAAGCATTGATCAGACCATCAAACCTCAGAGGGAAGGTGGGGGAGGGTGGGGGTAAGGGAAAATTTAAAAAAAGAAATCCTGTGCATGAAGCCTATAATAAACAAACAAAAAATTGTAAATCCTTTCTTTCAAATAATACTTTTTCATAAAATACTGAGTCCATTAGACAATCTTTTTATTTTGCAAAAGGAAACTACTCTTATATTTGCAAATATATACAGTATTTTATAACTGTAATTTAGATATTTTTTCATATATATTACCATACTTGACCATTAAAACAGTTCCATGAGATATACAGGACATATAAAACTACTCTCAATATTAATAGAAAAAAAATTGGGGACTTCCAATTTGGGCTAAAATGGAATAACAGAGACCAGATTTATCCTCCTGCCTTAGATAAATAGAACTCTGTCAAAATACATGAAATAATGGTTTTCAGACATTTAAAAAAAGGTAGCAGAGTGCTGTGATCCTTAGGGGAAGGAATTTTCTTCATAAAATGTCAGAGCACTTTATCACCATCTTAATGACATGCCCATTTGTTTCTTCAGTCATTTGTGGTTTCTCTCTCCTCATGGGACACTGCAGGGTCCCTAGGTTCCTACACATTTCCATGCCTGCTTCTCCAGCCTCCTAGTCAACTCAGCGAGTTCCTTCCGTACTTCCCAGACAGCCCCCTCTGCTCAGGTTAGCTAGAGGAAAATTCTGTTTCTTGCAAAGAAAAACATTTTAAACCTAGCTGAAACTCAATTACCACATTTTTTTAAATGTCCTCATAAGTTCATCAAGTTGTTTTGTAAAACAGTAATAAATTAGGAATTAAAATAATAGAAAGACCAATCAGAAATTGTTATCAAATTACTTTCCTGTCCTTTGGTAAATTAAAAAACAGATAAAGTGTGAATTAAATATATGTATTCAAATAGTTTTATACTTATGTAACTATAACTAACTTTATATTAGAGAAAATGCAGATAAATATCTTGATATTGTCAATGCTGCATGTAAAATATTTGCTGGACAAACATTCCAATCTTGCATTTTCAACTTCTTGCAATTTCACCTTTTTCTCTATGACTCTCAGGAAACTGGTAAATCAGAGATAGATAAAGTACCAGGATTATCACTAGACTCTATGTGAACTTCAGAGGGAGAAGGCTAATTTGGGATCATAACATTTCCCACACTTATGTTACTGATGCCAATAGTTAGGAGAATAACTTGGCTCAATTTTGATCTATTAATCAACTGTAACATTTGGTCATATTACATGATTATGCAACGACAGACAAAATAAAGCTGTTGGGAATAAAATTCTGAAATCCATGACCTAAAGCTTAGTAAACAAGGCAGACAGTTCAATAAACATTAGGTGAAAAATTCATTTTTAATAAAACAGTAGCATTTACATATGACAAGCATTCTTTCAAATGCACTTTGAGCCAACCTCCTTGTTGGGGATAACCTTCAAGGGTTCATTTGTTAATTTTTAAACATATTTACATGGGTGTACTTTTCACAGGTTTTTGTTTGGTTTTGTTTTTAAATTGATTATAGAGGTATTTACCCTTGACACAGCTCCTTAGATCAGAGTAGGCATTAGTTGACTGACGTACAGTAATGAATGATCCAGCTCGGAAGGAGCCAAGACAGGCTGTAAATACAAACAAATGTAATCTTTTTAGAGTGGGCATGCTCACATGATCTGAAATCATGGTAGAAATTATGCAAAGAGGCAAAATATTTATATTCCTGTGGACTTACAGATTCAGCATTCAAAGCAAGATTGCAAAAATACAGATTCATGACAAATCTATACATATAAAAGCCTAAGCGACCATTTGACCGTTTGATCATTACCTGTGATGCGCAATGACCACCAGGGGGCAGATGCTCAATAAACAGGCATGGAAACTTGAAACAGACTGATGAATCTCAGAAGGAAGTGGGAAGGAGGGAGGGCGGGAAGAGATTAACCAAAGATCTTATATGCATACTAGAGGCCCCGGTGCAGTGGGGTCCCTCAGCCTGGCCTGTGGGGATCAGGCTGAAACCAGCAGTTCGACATCCCCTGAGGGGTCCCAGATTGTGAGAGGGCACAGGCCAGGCCGAGGGACCCCACTGGTGCACGAATCCGTGCACCGGGCCTCTAGTAGGTTTATGAAAGTTCTCTTTGGAAAAGAACCTTAAAGCCAGAAGTGAAAACGTTCTTGGATTTGCAAAGAGATTTATTGTCACACAAAAATCTCTATAGTAAAGACCTATACAGTTATCCTCAAATCTGTAGATCAGAGCCTGATTTAGAAAGTGTTCGTAATTAAGTCAATAGAATTAGTTAGTGTTTCTGGTTGCTGTAAACAACTTCCAATTGTTCCAATGTTGCATAGAGACTAACATAATAGTATTTGCCTAATGCCTCAATAGTACAAAGCAAGCAGGTTCACTGCATTCATTTTGTTCCTCACTATAACTCTATGAAATTACATATGGCAATCTGGCAGAAATAACAGCTGAAAAAATAGAGATAAAATACTTACAGTCTTTAAAGTAACTAGGGGTCACTTTGTGCCAACAACACGTTCTTTAAAAGCCAACGAAAACAACAGTATATCACTTCACTGCGGATAGTCATCAACTTACTAAAAAGGTGGATTTGATTATCTTTTGCTGAGAAACAAACTCTAAAATTGGTAGCTTAAAATGATTATTCTACTTTAGTCATGAATTTGTGGGTCAAATATTTAGAAAGTGTTGGGTTGTCTGTCTCTGCTGCACATCCTGGAGGATCCACCTCCAAGATAGCTTTTCATTCACATGTCCGACAGCTCAGGCTCCTTGGCATCGCTCTCTCTCTCTCTCCATATGGCATATCATGCTGCAGGGCTGCTCCATGTGGTTGAGTTTCTCTTAGCATGCTGGTTCTAACATGGCACTTCTTTCAGGGTAGCTAGCTTTTCAAGAGGAAAAAGTGGAAGTTGCCAGGCCAACTAGGAGGCATTTTGTCACTTCCACCATTCTATTGATCGAAGCAGTCCCAGGTTCCACACAGATTCAAGGGGGAGAAGTGGCAAGCATGGACTCCATGTAGTGAATGGGAAATGGCAAGAGGTATTGCAGAAGAGTATGTGTGATGGGAGATATTTCTGCAGCCATTTGTGGAAGGTACAATGTATAACAGATTGATTCAGAGGCTCCATTTGAAGTCACTGTGTACATTAGTATCTTACTGCTGCTGTGACAAAGTACCATAACCTTAGTGCTTAAATCAACGTAAGTTTATTCTCTTACAGCTATAGGAACCAGAAGTCTAAAATTACAGTCTCAGCCGGGCTGCATCCCTTCTGGAGACTTCAAGGGAGAATTGATTTCCTTGCCTTTTTTCAGATTTTAGAAGCCACTTGCATTCCTTGGCTTGTACCAGTAGGCCTACCTTCACATCACTACCAACTTTTGCTTCATTGTTATATAACCTACTACCTACTCTGATCTCCTGCCTCCCTGTATAAGGACCCTGATGGTTACACTTGGTCTAGACCCGTGGTCGGCAAACCGCAGCTCGCGAGCCACATGCGGCTCTTTGGCCCCTTGAGTGTGGCTCTTCCACAAAATACCACGGTATTTTGTGGAAGAGCCACACTCAAGGGGCCAAAAAGCCGCATGTGGCTCGCGAGCTGCGGGTTGCTGAGCTGCAGTTTGCCAACCACTGGTCTAGACTATGAAAATTCCTACACACACCCTCTATTCACCTTTTTCCTCATTAATATTATTAGGGACCAAATTATTTGATTCTCTTTTACCACCTGATATAGGCACCACTGAACTACTTGTCTGAATTGGTCAATTTAAAAAAATAGTTCAAACTGCCCTAAACAAAAGTTTTATTGGGATTGTAATGGAACCAGAGTCTGGCAAATTTTTCTTTTCTTTGAGAAACTACGTTTGCATCTTTCTGTCTTTATATCACAGAAGATGCCATCACATAAAAATCTAAGTGTTTGTTTATTAAGTGGAAGACTGTTATTCATACTCCCCTCTTGATGATACAGTACTATTATTTGTCTTTAAAAAGCCTGTTGCTTGCAGCTTTTTATCTCCATTTCCACTCCCAATCACTCCTTATGCAATCATTCTAATTAATTAACATGCATTTTTTATTTGTATGTGTTCTTACAAAATATAGATTTATAATTTTGTGTACATGAATTTTCATTTCTATAAATGGTTGTGTAATATGTATCATGTTTTCTGATATTTCTTCCTTAGCATTATATTTTTATGATCTATCCATGCTATTATATATAATTTATTGCTCCTAACTACTAAATATTACTCATGGCATGCAATCACCCTTTTAAAAATCCTCTCTATCTGCAATACTGAGATTGCTTCCAATTTCCCACCTCTATAAGCAGCACTGCAATGGGTATATCTTCATGCATGTCTCGTCAGCACATGAGTAAGAAATTTCTATGGAATAGATTCCAAAGGGTTTCTGGAATTGAAGGATCATTAGCTAGGCATGAACTTAGGGGCTCTCCAGAGGTGCACTCCCACCATCACAGCATAAGAATTTTCATATTCTGGCTTTCTAATTGTAGCCAGAATATATATCTATAATAATAAAAGTGTAATATGCTAATTAGACCGACGTCCTTCCAAATGACCTTCCGGACGAAGCTGGAGCTGCAAGGGATGCCCGCACCCGGGTGCCAGAGGGAAGCTGGTGCCAGCAGCCAGGGGAAGTCCTACTCTTGCACAAATATTGTGCATCAGGTCTCTAAATATATATATATATATAGCTAATATGCAAAGTGTCCCCTTGGGAGTTCAACTGGGATTATGATGTGTGCTGACCACCAGGGGGCAGCACAGAACAAATGAAGGCCCTGGCCGGCAGCGGGGCAAGGGAGGCTCCAGCTGGCAGCCGGAAGGCCCCGATCAGTTCTTGTTTTTGTTTTAAAGTTTTATTTTGTTATTATTAATGCCTGGAATGCTAATGTTTCCCTTGAGATGATTTTAAGGGAAGTTGGCAGTCTGGGCTAATTCACCAACTTGGTAAGAACTAGAAATTAAAAATAATTTCTAATGTTTATATTTAGGCTCAGAATTTAGCATTCTTCCCAAAAAGTTTGTCTCCCATTAATAGAATCTTCCACTCTATCAGGTGATATTTTAAAGGTCAATATATCTGGTAGAGTTATTTATTCTATTTTCTAAGGAAAAGAACACAACTTGAAAACCCAGAGCATTGCCCAGCTGCTGTGGCTCAGTGGTTGAGCATCATCAACCCAGGAACCAAGAGGTCATGTTCCATTCCGGGTCAGGGCACATGCTCGGGTTTGGGGCTCAATCCCCAGAAGGGGGTGTGCAGAGGCAGCCGATCCATGATGTTTCTCTTTCATGGATATTTCTCTCTCTCTCTCCCTCTCCCCTCCTCTCTCTAAAAATTAATTTTAAAAAATCTAAAAAATAACCTGAGAAAAAACAAATATAAAAACAAACAGAGCATTTCTGTCCAAATTCTATGTTTTCAATGCAGTAATGGGATATGTGGATAGATTGTCCAAATTCTATGTTTTCATTTGATACTTAGCTTTTCCACCATGCTGCCAAATAAGACAGGTAAAGAGAAGAGAAAGTTGGGTTGAGCCAGCAAAGAGGAAGTTGAGAAAAATAAAAGGAAAAATGTTTTACCTAAGGAACTCCTCCAAAACACATAATATTCTATTAAAATCTTATTTATCTTTATCAAAATATACTCTGTGATCAAACGTATATATTTTCTAGAGTTTAGACACCTACAGAAACAGTTTCAATACACGGACTTAAGAAATAGAGATTAACACTATGTTTTTTAATGCAACTTGTAACTTTTTAATATTCAAATATTGTCTGTTTTAATTATAACATAATCAAATTTCTACCTAAAATTGAGAAGCTGAAATAGTCTTATTATTCTATCTTTTCTCCACTTTAACAGTGCAAACCTGTAGTTTTTGCTTTAGAAAGTGAGTCATGTATAGCCCTAGCCGGTTTGGCTCAGTGAATAGAGCTTCGGCCCACGGACTGAAGGGTACCGGGTTCGATTCTGGTCAAGGGCACGTACCTCGGTTGCAGGCTCTATCACGTGTACAGGAGGCAACCAACTGATGTGACTCTCTCACAGTGATGTTTCTCTCTCTGTGCCTTTCTCTGCCCCTTCCAGTCTCTCTAAAAACCAAAGGAAAAATATCCTCGGGTGAGGATTACCAAAAAAAAAAAAAGAAAGTGAGTCAGACCATTGTGGACACTCATAAATGAAAGAGTAACTACTTCAGGACTATGAAAAAGAGCACTTGGTCCTAAAAGGGTCTTCTACACAGTGGTCTTAGGCTCCTAATTGTTAATTGTCCTGAAGGGAAGATATAAGCACATACCATCATTTCAATATCAGGCTCCCGAGGAAAGGGGGGAAAGAAGAGATATACCCAATCTAAACATGGTCTCTGGAGTCTGTGCATGGGTATTCAAAAACAAACAAAAAGTGAAGCTCTGAACTATAATTAAACCCTCAAATTTCAAGAGAAAAAAGAGTGTAATAGAAAAAATAGTTATTCGCAAAATTATATCAATAACTTTTAAGCTGCATAGTAATTCATGTATATCAGAGTACATTTCTACCTTTTTTTTTTTTTCACAAGGAAGATTCATTTTTCGTTTTCACAGGGCTCAAAGCTCAAGTTGGCTGGGATGAGAGTGGGATGGAAAGAGGCACCAGTGGGGAGTAATCTGAGCCTAAATAAAATATCTGAGATAACCATGAAGGTTATCAAACCTTTGTGGGCTCGACCTACAGAGAATCCTATCAGAAAGAGGTGAGAAAATTATACTCAACTTTTATTGCTGAGAAGTGCTAACAACTATCCCAAGTAACATTAATATAAATGTTCTCATATTTCCTTAAAGCAAATCGAAACATAGTTATCTTTAACTGATATTTAGTTGAAATCATCTCATCTGTTTGAGTACAGAAATGACCTCACTCCTGGGAAGTCCAGAATTGTGTACCAAAGCAAAACATGGAGAGAGATACTGGAGGAAATGATAAAGTGATGTGGCCAAGAGAGAAGTTGTTAATCATTTCAATAATTATTTATGCCACAGCTCTGGGGAGTACAGAGATATTTTCTTTCATTAAAAGATAACCCAGGACCTAAATATAACTTAGTATTAGCCCAATGACTCTATGAGAAAGACAGGAAATTGAAAAAACTAAAAGTCAAAGTTCCACATGGTAATTAAAGACCAACTCTAAATTTTTCTACATAACTTTAATAAAAGAACAGCAATATTGCATATAGAATGGAATCTTCCTCCCAAGGCCAATGAAATTGTATTGGATGACATATACAAGTAGAGGACTAGATTTGATCATATCTATTTCCCTTCCATTTCTAGAATTATGTGAATAAAAGCCTTTGAACTTACCTAAATATTTTGGATAAAAATATTCCTAGAAAGAAAGAAAAATAAATAAGTTATCTTAGAAAGTTACATTTCACTATAGAGTTAAAATAATTTTAAAATGTGTTTTTACTTTAAAGATGCAAATATGTGGAGGGAGTGGGGAGGGGTGTAAGTGAATGTGGAGGAGGGTATAGGGGGAATAAATGGTGAAGGGGAAAAACTTTAAATATATATCTTTTTAAAGATGCAAATAAGTTACATACAATTGTCATCTCCACATTATATGATTTATGATTTTTTTTCTATAGCAAAATATACTTGGAGTAGATAACTAATAACATTCAGCTAATCAGATGCTTAGTCTTAAGGCAATATTGATCTATTAAATTATGCTTCAAAAATTTCTAATCTGATAACAGGTTCTACTGAAGCTATCAAATGTAATCATATATGTCCCCTTTTTGTAAATCCTTTATTTTTCCCATAGAGATCAGATAACCATTTGACACATTTCATGCCATGCCGATTGCACATACCAGATCCAATGTTGAATAACACTGACATCATCTGAACTGAATTGAAGTGGACATTTATCTTTTAGCATCATGAGTACAAGTAATACCTTACTTATTAATTGGCTATGTACCAAAAGTTTGTCTGTAAATCAGTAATTTGGACTAAGAAATATACTTCACCATAGAGAAAAAATGTTAAAAATGATTTCTAATGGTAAGGTTCTCAGGCTGGTTCACAAAAGCCTTCTTAAGCCATAATATATCTAATGTGTAACATTAGAAGACAAGAACACCCCATGAGAAACCAGTGTTTCTACACAAAAACGTAATGAAGTGCAAACTATAACTTAAGTCCAAAGTCTTCACTGTTTCTTTCTCTCACATATAAACCTACACAATACATCTACTAGTTTATAAGGATAGGATCTCCCATCAAGTATTTCAGACAGCTGTGTCTTCTACAGAACAGAAGCCAGGAGGATAAGCAACAATGAATGGGTTCAAAAGGAGATTATGTGTTGGCTGAAAGGAATGTATTAGGGGAAATGGGGAGGAAAACAACGGGGTAGAGATTGGGCATGTGAATTAGGGTATTAGGGACATGGACAGCGAGTGGATGGGACAGGATAGAAGTGAGAAGGAGTAACAAATGTTTTTTCTTTCCTTTTATTTCTCCCATTTCTTCTTTTGTCTGTCATATCTTTCTCTTTTGTCAATGAGACCTCCATCAGAATGAGTGGAGGAAAGAAAAAATATTCATGAGTTCCCTTCCCCACTATCTTCCCTTCACTCCATTATGGTCTTTGGCCTCACTCCCTATTTGCTACTCAGATGCTAACATAATCAAGTATTTATGTATGAGTGATACAATATGATATCTCAGCCATGCACACTTGCTTTAAAACGTTCCAGCAAACAAAACAAAATTAGAGTGGGCATAGTAGAAAACGGGTAAAACAAGTATGGTAGATTACTGATCATTGTTGAAGTGAAGGGAAGGTATATTGGGGTTTATTATATTGTTCTCTGTATTTTGGTATATATTGTAAATTTCTATAATAAAAATAAAGGTGTGTGTATCTATTTCCTAAAAAATAAGAATACTCTGTATATTGTGTGGAAGAAAATATTTTTCTCTTGCCAAGTGCTTAGCCACAAAAGCAACAGAATTAAGAGAAACATTTTGCTTCCATCCCAGAGAGTATTAAAAATGAATCTTTAGGTACCTTGGAAAAAATTCCTTTTGAACCTATAAAGGTAGGTGGAGGTAAAAGAATTAAAGAGAACACAACTTATTACTGTCTTGGACAAGTTCTCCAAATATAGAGATGATTCTTCCTCGTTATCTCATGGTCCTAAGAGCCATGGGAGAGGTAAAGGAGGGCCTTTGTATATATGTTCTTCCTCATTTCCTTTTGGTTATATAGTTCATCGCAGAAAAGAAAATATCTGAGGTGACCATGAAGGTTATCAAACTTGAATTCTTAGAGGCACTATTTATACTGCCACCTGCAGTATATTTTGGAGAATATCCTGGCCTGGGAAATAAGAGGACTAAAGATAAGGTCATATTTCTGCATATTTAGGGATGTTTATGGTTAGATTTTTGAAAACTAACTTGGAAAAATTAATACACTAAGATGTAAATTCTAACCCTAGGAATGACTGATGATATAAAATGGCTCAGGAAAGTTCTCAAGGATTTATGGAATAAATCAAAATATACTCAGGAAATACAGTGCTGAGAGAATTCTTTTTTTTTCTTTTTTTAATATATTTTATTGATTTTTTACTGAGAGGAAGAGAGAGAGACAGAGAGTTAGAAAGATAAATGAGAGAGAAACATCGATCAGCTGCCTCCTACACACCCCCCACTGGAGATGTGCCCACAACCAAGGTACATGCTCTTGACCGGAATCAAACCTGGGACCCTTCAGTCCACAAGCCGACGCTCTATCCACCAAGCCAAACCGGCTAGGGCCTGAGTGAATTCTTCAGTAAGGATTCACAGAGTACCTATTATGTACTCTGACCAGCTCTAGATTAAAGGCTGGTTAAAAATGCCTGGAGATATTTAATTAAGTATAGTGATAACAATGCAATCACATGTTGGTACCCACCCATGTCTGTACATGTGCGCACACAAACATGCACACACATTATATTTAAGATGTCTTCCCTCCCTACTCCATATTACCAAGTTATGGTTGGAAGAAAGTATTTACAAACCATGAGGTTGATACTATTTGCTGGTAGTATTTAATTTATAATTAAATTATAGATTGGTTAGAGCACATTGCTTTTGGCAATAGTGTCTTCCTGACTAGTCCACCTTCCTTTGAAGGTATTTCCTTCTGAAATACTTCAATGGTTACATGTGAAATGTGATATATACACAATCACTTAACATTAAAAAGGAACAGAGGAACACAGACTCAAGCTGGAACTGTTCTGTCTATAATTGTATGACTAGCTGTGCTAACATTGTCATGAGCTCTTACCGTTTCAGGGTAATTTTCAAAGATCTCCCTGGCTTCTTCTTTATTGCACAGTTCTTCAATGCACTCTCTTTCAAGATTACCCGGTTTGACTTCTTCAAAGGGATGATTTGCTCGGCGTTTCCTAACCAGAACTTGTGAAGCATGTTGCTTTGACAAAACTGAAGGAAAAAAATAAGTTTATATAAATAAATATTTCATTTCTCCACCTAAAATATATTATTTTTTAAACAATCCTATATAATAAAAGCCTAATATGCTAAGTGTCCGACCGTACGTTCAACCATTTGACCAGTCGCTATAACATGCACTGACCACCAGGGGGCAGATGCTCCAACCAGTAAGTTGACTTGCTGCTGGGGTCCAGCCAATTGGGACTGGGCGAGACGGGCCAGAAACGTCCTGGAGCCCTCCCGTGGTCTCTCCCCAGCCCCAATCGTGCACCAGTGGGGTCCTCGTCCTGGCCTGGGCCCTCTCGCAATCCAGGACCCCTTTGGAGATGTTAAAGAGCCAGTTTTGGCCCAATCCCTATAGGCCAGGCTGAAGAACCCCACTGGTGCACAAATCCATGCAGCAGGCCTCTAGTGATAATTAGAATCATTTTCTGCCTTCGAATTGTATGACATTTAAAATCAGTATGGTTGAACTGAAAAAAAAAGTGCAGATATATAGCACTTTGATAACAACTCAAAGAGTAGGTTTGGTGTCCAACTATAACATTAGTATAATGATCTACACAAATTTTTCATGCTCATGCTGGAGGTCATACATACCAGATGATACTTCTGTTTATCTTATAACTACATTGGAAATAGCATCATGCTGAAATGACTATGTAAAAAGTCATAGCTATCCCAACTTGAAAGCCACTTTCTTAATTTTAATGAAAAACTCACATGATCACTAAAGCAGAAGTATAGTCCAATCAGCTACTTAAAATATATTTAATAGGCTAACACAATTATTCATACAAACAGGAAGATAAAAATTCATGGTAAAAGCAAGCCCATACAGAAGACTCTAGAATCCACAGAGACTAATCCTAGCATGCCCTCTATGGCCTTCTTCATCCTCTAATGACAGGCATTTCAATCATATCAGAAATGCTCCCATTTCTTTGCTCCACTTGACACAGCTGTCCTCCCATTCTTTCACACTCACACAAATCGGGCTTTTCTGTGTGACTCTAACCATGCTGCTTTTATCAAGATCCTGATACGAACTCTAAAGGTTAATTATCAGTCCTCATCTTCCATGACCTACAAGTATTATTTGACAGCCTTGATTATTGCTTCGTGGATACAATATTTAAACCTAACTTACAGGTCATAAGGCAGTTTTCCTTATTCTTGTATCTCATTGACCAGACCCAGACCCTTTTTACTGATCTGTAAATATTGGTTATTTGAGGTTTCATGGCTATATCCTAATGATACATTATATCTCTAGCTAGAGCCTCCCTCCTCGCTTCAGATCATATGTCCAATTGGCTATTGGACATCTCTTGGATGACCAAAAATCTCAAATATGGCATCATAAAAGTGAACTTTTAATTTCTACACTCCATCTGACTGCCTCCACTTGACCTCTCAATTGATGGTAATTTCTAGAGCTCAGACAAAATACCTTGAAATAATCCTTCATTCCCCCTTCCCCTCTCCCCCTACCTCAAAACCCAATTCTACATCATCACAAAATCCTCTCAGCTTTCTCTTTAGGACTTATAAAACAGCCCTAGCCAGTTTGGCTCAATGGATGGAGCATCAGCCTGTGAACTAAAGGGTCCTAGTTTCGATTCTGGTCAAGGGCACATCTTGGTTGCAGGCTCCTCCCTGACCTGGGCCCTGGTTGGGGTGTGTGCAGGAGGCAACCAATGTGTTTCTCTCACACTGATACTTCTGTCTTCCCTCTCTTTTCCACTCTCTCTAAAAATCAATGGAAAAATATCCTCAGCTGAGGATTAAAAATAAGTAAATAAATACTTATAAAACATATGATCACTTCTCACCACCTCTAAAACATGTTCTTTAACCAACTATGAGTCAAGATTTTAAAAAATCAGGCAACACTATCTGTGACACCTGAATATGTGAAAAACATTAGTTTTTACAAAGTTATTTAAAATGTTGGGAATTTCTTTAGTTGTCATTTCCAGTTTGAGATATGATTGATATATAACACTGTATTAGTTTTAGGTGCACGTTTTA